AATGAGGAACCCCTTGCAGAATCCCCTGTGTGCACCTTCAGCCCTGAATAAAATTATTCCCTCTGAAACACAACTTTAGTGTTGGAGAGATGAATTGCCACATTTCAGGCATTTGGTACCTGGTGGAGCAGGTCAGAGACACTGGTTGCAGCTTTGCATCAGAATTTAGCTGGGATCCCCTCGTTGTCAGGGGTCCAAACCTTCTCACAAAAAAGGGTCCCATTAAAACATCTGCTCTAGCTCTGAGGGAAAATGAAAACCCTCTCGTAAAACACAGATTGCTGTCTGGCAGGAACTGCCCTCAATTTCAAAAAGCACTTGGTTCTTGGGCTGAGTATGTCACTCAGAAAAGAACACAAATTAGTAACCAATTACTGACAGTATCAAACCAAAAAAGTCAAACAAAACTGTGGCCTTAACGTTAGAAACATTGTAAAGCAGCATTTCTGCTGCCTGCTGCTTTGAGATCTTAGTTTTACATTATTGGCAACCTGAAGTGTTCCAAGATCTTGAGCTGGGCTCTCCAAAAAAAATTTTGACTATAAATCAGAACAGATTAGAAAACAGCATTTGGCCTCTGTTTTGTTTGCCTTCTAATTTTGGAACTTGTAGTGCTCATGGGTTTCAGATTTTGCCTGGAAATCTGAGAGTTGGAAGTTTACATTTGGGAGAAATGAAAGCTGGCATTTTTGTCATCACATGACTCCAAGAGCTGGGGCTTGAGGGAAAAACATAAAACATTGTCAGGTTTTCCACAAAATTGTGAGATTAGCAGTATCAGTTTTATCACAATTTAGGCTGCAAGGTTGACCTATTTTATCAACAGTGCCCTACTGAATATGAATCGCTTTATGAATTTTAACAACCATATTTCATTTTAAATGCGGTTCAATTAAAGTGACACTTGTCAGTGAGCTCCAAAGCAAAGCCTTCCATCAGCATCCTGGGCCAGGCTTTGTCTCCGGGATCAAGGAGCCCTGAGCTCAGGGACACCCTGGAAGGAGGGGTGACACCTTTGCGGTGCATTTGGAGCCCAGCTCAGCCCCATGAGCACATGCCAAGCCTCTGCCCCTCTGTGCCCAGCTGAGATGGGAGCTGCAGAGCCCCAGAATGCCCAGGCTCCAGGGGAAGGGCACCAGGGAGAGACTGGGGTCCCACACAAGAGGAGTGGGTACCCAGGAGAGCTCCCTTGAGGACAAAACTGAGCTGAAGCCAAGAACTTGTTGAGTTATACCAGTATCTGAACCCAGGAAATTCCTCTGGCTGCCCTGGAGGGCTTAAGTCCCTGCCCAGGACCCCTGTGCCTTGGAAAAAACAATTACCAACCTCATATGAAGAATTACAAGCCACGAAAGTTTAAGTAGAATGATAGTTAATTTGCCACAGGGCGAAAAATAGATTTTGGGGTTTTTAGAATGAGGCTTCAGGGGGCAAGATGGAGGGATCTGGGCACATCCAGCCTTTCTCCTTTTTCTTCTTGGCCTCCATCTTCTGGCACTTTTAGATTGGTTTAGAGTAGAAGCTCACTGTCTAACATAGGGGATAGGTATTGGGAAGTTATGGTAAATATTGTACATGTAGTTTTTAGCATAAAAAGATAACACCACCCTGAGGCACGCAGAGTGCCTCTGTCTGTGCTGCTGAGTGGACTATGGCTGGACAGGAGAGAGAATTTTATAGATAAGAAACAATAAACAACCTTGAGAAAGAGAAATGAAAAGTTCTGACTCCTTCTTGGATCACTACGCTGGGAAAAGAGACTTTCCAACTTAACTCTAAGCAGCTAGAGCCCTGAGATAGCAGGTGTCAGCCTGCCCTACAATTTCTACCTCAAATACAGCCTGAAGCTTTGAGGTGCTGATGCACAAGGGCTGTAAATACCCAGATCCCAGCTCCATCTATGGAGGAACAGCAGGACCAGGGGTGCAGGGAGAACAGCACCAACACTCAGAGGCAGAAACCTCACAGGGAAAACCTCACACACACATTGGGCAGAGCAGAGAGTGTGCATGGGGGGCTGCATCCCAAAGTGCCATAAAAACAGGGGAGGGTTACTTAATTATTCAGAGACACTCAAACCTCTCCACAAATTAGCTCTAGAACATCCTGAAAAGTAGAAAAAAATTATAAATGTTTGCCAAAACACAAAATCTCGTCTAGATCCTGTTTTAGCATTTTGAGGTCATACAGATTCTCAAATTTAATCTAATCTGCAACTTTCCTGCAGCTTACTCCACTCTCTGTACAAAGTCCTTGTTTTCTGTTTCAGTGACACCACCTTCCAATGAACTCAGCAGAGATGGGCTTGGAAAAGACGCGCCACTTTCAGACTCACATGCCAGGCACGTTTTTCTGAGCCCAGGGAACTAAAGCATCTTTCTGCAGCATCCCAGAAGAGCTGGTTTAACTGAGCTGCAGCTCCACGGAGCATCTGCAGCCCTGTGAGGAGAAAAGGGACTCTCAGTCTCTCCCTGGTTATGGATTGTGTGATGGGCTAAGGAGAAAGGGAACTGTTTCCAAGTTAGCACACTGAGAGAAAGCACTCATAAATCATGGGGTCAGCCAGGTTATGCTTTTTTCTAACCTTAGGGTATTATGCTTTCAATACAATATTTCAGTGGCTTTCTTCTGTGTAATAATTTATATGGAATTATGGCAACTCTTACAAGCTCAGAAAAAATTGGCTCAAGTAAAACGATTCCTTTGTCATAAATAAGTTGAGTTCATAGCTACAGCACAATCACTCAGCTGCACCTAAGTCAAACAGTTATCCACTCTTTGTAGGAATATTTCCCTGTCAATAAATCTCGTGCTATTTCAAAACTTCAGGCCAGTGTGACAGAAGCCTGTTAGATTAATTAGGGCAAGGTCAGGAAAGCTGAACTCACAGCTACATTCCTGTCAGAGCTTTCTTCCACCTCCCATAACCCATAGGCTGACTGTAAACTCTCTGACCATTTTATACATGGGCATCTTAGGGGGACTTCATTGCCTTAATGTAGATACAAAGGGTGATTTCTTTAAGAACTGTTTCTTCTCTGTCAGTCACTAACTGAGGAGAAGTATTTTGCTTTGTGTTCTCTGTCAATAAGCATTATTTTTAACTTTTAGATGTTTTTCCCTTCAGAGTTATGCGCTCCAGCCAGGGTTCATGAGACTTGAGGATCATGCATGGAACTGCCCAGCCTGCCTGTGCAGCATCACCCAAATTTCCCTGCACACAGACCAGCTCTGTGGCAGAGAGGGAGCAGCACTGTCCCCTGCCTGCTCCACTGCTGACCATCCAAGAGCAGGGTGCCACAAACCCGATGGGGTCTGTGTGAAGGGGACCCTGGAGGTGAAACCCTGACCCCAGCAGGGTCAATATTTCATCTGCAATCCCCTGGGACAGAGCCCCAAATCATTCCTGAGGATTGCAGCTTCCCTCAGATGGGACTTGGCTGACTTTCATTTACTACTGACTTAGGTCAAACTTGGACCAGGGATCAAAAGATGAAAGGCTCTATATCTCATTATCAATAACCAGGGTTTTCTTCACTACCCTAAAAACAACATACTTCATTCTTATCTACAGGGCATTAAAACTTAAAAGGGTTGGGGTCAAATTACATTACTTCAATTTATTTTTATTCACTGCTTATAAAACAACTTCCTCTCTCGCTGCCATAGCTAAATGCTAAAAATACAAATATTTTCCTTGCTATTGTACAGGTTTTGCTATTGTTTTTCTTTTAAAGCCTTATTAAAAATGCAGCAATAAAGACAAATCCCTCTCACACACAAATTAGGAAGCAGAAAAGAGTACAGAGGTCCAGGCCAAATCAAGCCTTACCAATCTCAAAATCATTTTCAGCAAAGCACATCTTGTATAGAAGTTGCCTTATAACAGAGGGATGGACCTTCTGAGGAGTTTTTCATAAATGCCAAGTCCAGATATGAACAGAATGTCCTCTGGAATAATACAGCCAAGTTTTCTTCAGTATGAAGCCATAAAACTCCTCTGATGTGGCTGGAATTAGGTTTTTAGGTTTTCTTAAATGGGTTACAATTGTGATTGATAATTTTAGGCAACTCCCTCTGAAATGCTGATGAAAAGCTTTGGAAGGAGAATCCTGCTGCTACTGAACAAACAGAATAGAGTCTAAGCAGCTTGCAATGCTCTGTACAAAACTGCAGGATTGAACAACCAGAGATTCCACCCTGGTCCCAGGTATCTGTAAAGTCAAACCTCTCCTTTGTTATTCCATGGATTATGTTTATTAACCACTTCTGTTATTCCCCAGCAAACTGATTTACATCGTTCCCAAAACAGGGGCATGCTCATGGCAGAAAAGTAATCAAATACAGTCAATGGCATGAAAAGAAACTTCTGAATACAGTATGGCAGAAAGAGGCTAAATAAAGTTTACTGGGTATGCTGGTTTAACAACTTCTTCTACTCCTGGGAACAAATCTGCAGGTACCTGGAACTTACACAGCTGCTCTCCTGAATCTAACCAACCCTTTGGCCAGCTTCTCACTCACACACTATTTCTCCATAAATAAACATTTCCAGTCTCCCAACACCTCAGGCAGAGGTAAGACAGTACACTTGATTATCGGCCACTGAAGATTATCAATAACCTCAGCAAAGCCTCAAAACCAGAGCTGTAGGACACTGGTTCCCAACAAACTCTTTCTGGCAATGCTTTTGTCACTCCTGAGGAAAGAGGATTTGTCCTGCAAATGCCTGAATTATTTTATATTATATCCTGCTTGCATGACCAGCTCCTCTAACAGCTTCTTCCTGACCCCACAAGAACCATGCAAATCATATAAGGCTTTCCAGAAATTGACCTTTTTTTTGCTAAATGACAGGTAGAATCCTCTCATGTTTCCATAAACAAGATGCCAGCCAACTGCAGAGATTCTTACAGAAACGGGGGCAACAATGGCTGAGGGAAGGAGTGGGGAAGGGAAGGGAAGAACAACAGGGGTGTGGGAGGAGATGCGTCTCTGACCTGGATCTGCTGCTGAAGAAGGTTAATTTTGTGCTGCTGCTGCAGAAGCTGCTGCTGCTGTCTTGCAATCTGTGAAGAAATTGCACAGAAGAAACATGAGATATGGGGATCACCATTCCCAGGGTCCATCCTCAGGAAGCTCTGACCCTGCTTAGTTCTTCAAACCTCTCCTCTGAGCTAAGGAACCTCCGAGGGCAGAGGTTCCTTAACCTCTGGGGGCACAGGATTGTTCAGGGGCACAGGAAACAAGGGGCACAGGATTGTTCAGGAACAATTCATTGCTAACACCAGTGAGAAAGGGACTCTCATGGAAAATGCTCTGCTGCACATAAGACAAGGACCTATGCAAAAATCTTACTGAAATGGCGCTGCCAGAATCCCCCAGGAGAGAGAACACCAGCAGAGAAACAAAAAAATGGTGGAAAAGGGTAGAAAAAGCAAAAAAGTAGGATGGCCAGAAATACTCTTCTGTTTGGCACCACCTGCTCCATTTTTATTTTTTAATGGCAATGTGACACCATGGAGGAAGGTTCTCAGTGTACTTTTATTAATGCAGAAACAGGCACAAAGGGACTGGAACTGAGCTTGGAAAAATCCCTGGCTCTGCAGTGTGTGTATCAGCTGCAAGGAGCTGAGGGGGCAGGCAAGGCCACAAGGCTCAACACGAGCCTGGCTTAGGGAGGTGCATGGATCCTTCTGAGCCTCCTCTCAAAGCCAAGCGCAGTTCTCCAGAAGGAATTCCACCCTCCCTCTCCCTAAGTGACTGCAAATGCTGCTGTGGACACTTTTTACACCCATGAAGGGAAACAGCAGACATTAACAGAATGGAGTTAAGAGCTCTAAAGGCTGGAGGGAGACAAACCATTCTTGAACTTTAAAAGCAAGAATGGAGCTTTTCTTTAAGAAAGAAAAATAATTTTTATCACTACATTTTTTTTCAGAGTTTGGATATTTTCATTTCTGCATAATAAAGAAGTACACACAGTTTCTTCAATTAAAATAAATCCTAGTTGTCCTAATTTCTCATTGCCTTTTTCTATTGTTTAATTTTCTTTTTCACTTTCAAATCACTGTGGCACTGGTGACTTTAGGAGGCAGGGAGAATAGTTCATACAGGACGTCTCCTGGTGACAGAATCTTGCCAATTCCACCTTCACTCATTCCTCTACCTTTGCTGTCCTAACAACAGCAGGATACAAATTCTGCAGCTCAAGGTAAGTCACTTCTGTTCTCCCCATGTGGGAGTTCAGGCCAAAATAAGACAAGGTTTTTAAATAATTAAATTAATAATTTTAAATAATTAAAACCAGGGAAAAGCAAGGCTTAAATGGCTGAAGGTAGCAGCAGTGCCTTGGAAATCTTAAGACTTGCTTAAGTACAATACCAACACTGAATATGACAACTATGACAGATTTCAAAAAACTTTGTGAGTTTAAAACTCACAGAGCTGCAATTGTGTGATAAAATTTTAAACTAGATGTTTAAATATTCTGTGCTCATGTTCAATTACAAAAGCAGACATTAATTTCTGTTAAAATCTGCCCAGTGAAATCTGTGAGAAAAGTTAAGTTTTTGCCTCAAATGTTGCGTGTCCATGTGTGCCCATTGGAAGCGATCACATGTGAAAACCATGTTTGCATTGCCAGCGAAGGGCATATTTGCAAGAACTGAAAATCAAGCCTCTCAAGTGCAGAAGAAAAAAAGCCACACTTGTTCACTGACTTTGTATTATTTTCTGCTTTTTTCCACAGTTGGCAAAACCCAACCTCTTCACGTCTCACATTACAATCCAAGTGCTGCATTTTGTTCTTTCTGTACCTGTTCAGTATTGCTGAATTAAAGCAGCTTTGGGGGATTATTCAGGAGGGCTGGATGCGCCTCTTTATTTACAGACAGTTTAAAAGAATTGAAGATAACGGAGAATTGCAGAATATTCTGAGTTGCAAGGGACTCACAGGGACCACCCAACCCAACTCCTGAATGAAGAGACTGAGCCCACAGCCTTGGTGTCGCAGACATCTTTTATGGAAAATCCTTTCCTTAGGATTTTTTTCCTCCTAAGAAGCTGAGAGGCCTCAGGAACAAAATGCAAACATTGATTATCTGCTGCTGTGGAATGCAACAGGTGCATCTGGGATTGGTCTCATGTGGTTGTTTCTCATTAATGGCCAATCACAGTCAGAGAGCTGAGCCACAAACCTTTGTTATCATTCTTTGCCATTATATTCTTAGCCAGCCTTCTGAGGAGAACCTTTTCCTCTATTCTTATAGTATAGTTCTAATGTAATATATATCTTAAAATAAAAAATCAGCCTTCTGAAACATGGAGTCAGATCCTCGTCTCTTCCCTCATCCTCAGACCCCTGTGAACACCGTCACACCTTGGCATTGCTGACAGCAGGCTCCGAACAGCTCCAAGATGGATCTATTGCAAATTAAATTGGCAAGCATTAACACCCCTCTATAACCTGTAATATCACCTACATTCATGATTAGGGTTAAACTGTATCGCATTTTCCTGACATGTTTTGGTTCAAACTTTTCCACCGTGGAGAACAAACGGAAAAGCTTCTGGGTGCGCTTTCAGGGTCTGGAGGCCGAAGCCAAGCTGCTGGGCAGCCTTGCAGGGGTGGCTGGAGCTGCAGGCAGGGCAGTGCCCACTCACCTGCTCCTGCTGCTGCTTGGCCAGCTCCATCTGCTGCCGCTGCTTCTCGATCTGAGACGCCGCCAGCTTCTTCTGCTCGTCGTGGGCTGCCAGCAGCTGCTCCCTCAGGCTGGTCAGCTGGTTGATCATGCCCATGAGCTGCCTCTCCTTCTCAGCCAGGCTCTCTGGAGTCCCTGCGCATCGCACGGTGGGGAGAAAGAGGAGAGAGAACGTTTAGAGCCACGCAGCGCTTCATTTTCTCTTCATTCTGCAGCTCTACTGCAAGCAGAGTTTGAGGAGAGGCAAAGAGCAGCGGCAGATTGCAATGTGCTGCTCACAAAGACCTGCTCCTCTACATGGAAGATAAATCTGTACACAGGCTTTCATCTGGGGTCCCCCTTCAATGCTCCTTTGCCCTTTCATCTGTTTTGCACTGCCTTTCTGTCAGATTAACACAGGGAAATAATACTGCCTATTTTGAAGAAGTTTTAAGTTTTAAACACTTGGGATCAAAACCCCAACCCTTCCAGGTTTGTAAGACAACAATATTTATGGGAGAAACTTAGGGAAAAGATGCAGTAGTGTCAAAGCATTGATGCAGGATAAGCATTAACATCCCTCTGTAACCTGTTATATCATCCACATCCCTGATTAGCATTAAATTGTGTAGTATTTAAACTGTCAGTAACTCCTATTGCTGTTGCTGCCACACCAAGGTGCAATTTTAAAGGAAAAAATCTTTTATAAACATATCCAAAATGTGAGTTAAACACAACTCATCACCACTCTCATTTGTACTGTTGTTAGATGTTTTTTACAGTGGAGTTCAGCACCCAGAGGAACTCACTACCTCACTTTCACAACCATGCTGAAGAAATTATTTTTCTGCCCAGAAGGACAGTGGTTATAGGGGAGCATTCTTCTGCCAATGTCACCAGTGCTCTCCAAGTAAAAAAAAAAAACAAAAAAAAAACAAAAAAAAACCCAAAAAAAAAAACCACAAAAAAAAAAAAAAAGGGAAAAAGAAAAAAACTGGCGACTCCAACAAGCACGTTCCTAGCCAACTATCAGCCAGACATGGAAAGAGCTGCTGGTAATAGCTCATTTAGCCTACCCCCCTGCCAGTGCAGGAATGCTCCCTGCAATATTTCATACAGCCTGCATTGAAATGTCTGTGATGGGGAATCCTCTGCTCTTGCTCTGAAAGCCCTTGAGGTGCCACTGGAAGGGCTCTGTGCTTGATGCCTTAATTTCCTTCTTTCTTTTTGTTACTTTTACATAATTTCAATGATGTGATCCTGAGCAATGTCCCATTTGTTATATTATCCAAGTACAAGCACTTAAATCCATTTGTAGACAGCCACATGCAAGTGGAAAACCACACAGAATCACCAGAAAAAACAGAAGAAATGCAACTGAATTGTTTTTCATTAGGGTTCTAGAAATTTCTGTGAAAATATTCTCACCACACAACAAAGAGCTACAGCAGAATATTCTCAGATAAAGCCTCCAGAAAAACTGTTGTGCAAGCTGGAAACTTGAGAAACACACTGCAACAGAAAGCATAGGCCTTTAAACCTGTTCTGCTAAAAGCTGTGAGAGGGAATGGAAGCCAGTGCTAAAACACTCCCAGGGCTGAAGAAAACACTTCTAACTATGAGCTTTGCTTCCAGCACTGGAGAGAGAGAGCTGCTACAAGTCATGCATCTGCCACCTGGCCATGGAATTAATCAGAGGTTTCCATCGCCACTCTTGCATCCTTCGTTTGTTGTTCCCCAGGAGAAAGATATTTTATTCCTAATTTTCACTGAGGATGGATGCAGGCATGAGAGAGTGGGGAAGAAGTTCCTACAGACAGAAGGGACTCACAGGATTGTCTCAGCCCCTGAGTGAGGGCAAGCAGAAAGAAATCACTGTCAAACACACCAACACACAGCACTGCTGCTTCATCCCTGGATTTGCAGCTCCTACAGCAGCTTTCAGCTGGGAATCAAAAAGCCCTTTGTAAAGTTAAATTAATCCCCATCTTTAAGTTAATCTGAAAGGTAGAAAAATGTTTCCACATGTGTGGAGTGACAGGCAGAGAGCTCACAGTTCCCAGGAGAGGCAGGAAAGCTGTGCTGCTCTCCAGGCTGGGGCTGGGCTGCCTGGGAGGGAGCGGGGACAGGGACATGCCACCAGCCTGCCACCAAAACCCTTCAGCAGCTCCATCTGAGTGCCAGGAGCAAGGTGCAGCCTGCAGCTCTTGGTGCTGAGCACAGCAGGGACAGGGATGTGCTGGAGGAGGTGCTGGGGAGGCCACAGGCACACCAGAGGGCTGGAGCACCACTTTGTATTCTCAGAGAATATCTATTCTATTTCTGTTTCTATTCTATTCTCTACTCTATATCTATTCTCTATTCTCGATCTATTCTATATTCTCAGAAAGGCTCAGAGAGTTTGGGCTGCTCAGCCTGGAGAACAGAAAGCTCCAGAGACACTTTCCAATATCTAAAAAGGGCTTATAAAGATGGGGACAAACCTATTAGCAGGGCCTGCTGGGACAGGACAGGAGGCAGTGGTTTAAACTAAAAGAAAGTCAATTTAGGTTAGAAATAAGGAAGCAATTGTTTACAGTGAAGGTGGTAAAACACTGAAATAAGTTGCTCAGAGAGTGGTGGATGCCCCATCCTTGGAAAGGTTCAATTTTCAGGGCTTTTGAGCAGCCTGGTGCAGTGGGATTGGACCTGCTGACCTTCCAACCCAAAGCATGACTGAACTCAGAGCCAGCAGTGACTGCCAGTGCAGACACCAGCACCACACGGCAGCCAGGCACACATTCACTCACTCTCTTCTTTATTGTTCCATTCTTAAAGACAATCTGAAACGCCCACAAGGGGTGTTTTATATCCTACTTAGCAAGTACAATGCATAATTCCTGGGGTTTATACAGCTGGAGTGAAAGTAGTCTGACAAAAGGCAGACTTCTTGCATTATATTTCTGGAGTTATTTCAGTTTGCTAATAAACCAAAAGGGAAAATTTATCAGCATCAGCTTTATAAAAAAAATCTTCTCTTGGAGGATACTTCCTGGAAAACATGGCTTAGTAGGTACTTTTTTTTCTCAGGACTAAGCCATCCTTCCAGTAACTGGAATAGTACTTAATGATAATTTCAGTTCTTTGAGGTAATAATTCCTTGCAAAGTAAGTACTTGGATAGCCATACTCTCAAGTGACCTGCACAAAACCAGAGGCAAAACCAAAAGATCAGCTGTGTGGCTCTAATGAGAGATGGGGAGCTCTGTGCAATTTCCCCTTGTCTTGCTCACACATCATGGAAACTCCACTGATGATGAATCACAGTTTTGACATCTCTTGCAGGTAACTGCTGGCTTGTAAATGTGTGAAAATGAAAAAAAAAAAGGGAAGTACTTGAATCAGACAGTCTTGATAATAATGTTTAATGTTTGCATTTAGTTTAAGTTTGGTATTTTTTATGTTAGCCTTATTACCTAGCACACCTTTCCTATGATTACTTTTCTTCAAATGGTCAACAAAAGTGCCACTTCACATTGCCATGGCCAATCATGTATTCCTTTGCATATCACACAAAGGCCAAAGCATGGAGGGAGTTATTTATTTATTGGTGAGGTGAGGCCAACAGTGGAGTCACTACATGAGTACAGTCAGTGCCAGGAATTTTTCCTGGTGTATCAAAAACCACAAGAGAGTTGTGGTTGAGCTCCACTTGGTTCTGTGCCCTTTTCTCGGTGCTGTAGGCTGGGGGCAGACAAGGATGGGGGACTTTGGTCCTACCCTCACTATTCTCTCTGTGTTAACCTGCACGAGATCCAAACCTGCATCATGGTGTGAAGTGTCTTGGCAGCCAAGGGATTCCCACTTAAAGAGTTCTGCAGCTCACAGGGCAAAACACGTCAGTATTTTAAGCAACTAACCCAACAAGAAGTAAAGACAGCTGCTCAAATGATGCTACCCAGGAATGAATGAACCACCCCCAGGGCTGCTGACCCTGCTGGAACTTGGGAGGGTGCAGGCCCCTGTCCCCAGCAGCCACAATCAGCTGACAGAAACCCCAAGTGTCCATCACTGCAGGGCGCACCTTGGCAGCAAGCTGGACCACTCCACAGAAATTCTGAGTGAGAGCCTCAAACAGTGCCTCGAGAATTGCTCTGAGTTACCCTGAGAGCCAGCACAAACAGATACTGCCCATTTCATGTCCAGCAAAGCCTTTCACCACCTGCCCTTGCGGGGGTTGCTGTGCGTGCTCTCTGTGCCCCTACTGCCCTGGCAGAACGTGGATTTTCCACAGACGGAAACAGCTCAGGCAAAGGACCACCACAGCACACACTGCAGGTGGGCAGCTGCACAAAGAACCAAGGAAAGATGCTCTCCAGACGTGCCCTGTCACCATGAACAGAAACTCAGGAAAAACCCCACGTTTGTGGATGCAGCACCCACAGCAGATGGCAATAAAAGAAGACTCAAATTAGCGGCATTCTAGGCAAACCTAAACTCCATCTCAGATCAACACCACCCATAATAGTGTTTAAGTAGTAGAAGAAATTTACTCAAATGTGAAATAAACTATTACACATTCTTAGTTCTGATTCACAGCCTCAGACTGGCAGTGACAGTAACATTTTAATAAACATTAGAATGAAGACACCAATATGACCAAATGACACACTTAAAGTGAGAAAAGGAACAGGAGAAACCTTGGCATCCCCACCCAAAACAGAACCAGAGCAAAAAAAAGGCAGAGGAACTGCTTCTGCGATCAAAACAGTAAATACTTTGTTATAATTTATTAGACAGAACAAGAATGTAAATGAGAAGTTGGGAAAGCCAATATTTTCTGTGACAGGCACTTCCAGCTTTTGCTGCAAACGCTGAGGCACAGGGAGTGTTTGCTGCCAGCCAGCCCAGGGATGTGCATGCCCCAGGGACATCCCTGTCCCCAAACTCTGTCCCGTCCCAAATGCTGAGGCACAGGGAGTGTTTGCTGCCAGCCAGCCCAGGGATGTGCATGCCCCAGGGACATCCCTGTCCCCAAACTCTGTCCCCTCCCCAGGCACTGCTGGGGATGCTCTGAGCACCCTCACCCACCCAGGCACTGAGATCCACCTGCCAAGCCAGTCTGCACTGTCACAGGGATGCCTGAACAGCTTTTGAACTGCCAGGATCTGCCTTTCA